GTGTTGATCCTTTGAAAAATGTTTTCAAGTTTGAAAGATGTTTTGACAGTGTAGGTGATTATTTTTGAAAATAGCAAGGATGTTTGTTTTGAAATGGAGCAAGTAACTAGAAGCAATCTTCCTACTCAAATGTCTTTCTTGTTTATTTTCTTTTCCTTTGACATTGTTGTCTTACCATTGATTTGGCAAGCAACCATATCTTTGGATGTAAGCGGGACGGGCGTGGGTCATCGTATAGTCATGATAGCAATGTTGTGAGGTATCTTAGCATTTATTTTTTAGGCACTAAGATCATTTTGAAAGGCAACATTTATAGCATCATCGAGGGACTATGATCTTGTATTTCGATTGTTTTTACTAAGACACCCCACATGCGTAACATGACCTTTTTTTAGGCAACAAGTGGAGTTAACCTTAAGGGTCTATGTGTGAATAGTGTGTTTGATTTGCATGCATTTAATCTTTTATTAGGGTTATCTACTTGTTGATTTTATCTTGCCATGCACACCCTAATTACTAGCATTTACATTCAAAAGCGATAAATTGCAGAAATGTAAAGTCCTACGCTATTACGATATTTTAGGGATGGGGGTACATATTTATGAATGGGGGTTGCAAATAAAATTAAATCCTAAGTTACTATTACAACCATATTTAAATATACAATATAAGAAAGAAAAAGGACTTGTTTAGAAAATGGTTTTTTGTCTTAATGAAAAAAGAAATAAATTAATTAATAAAAGAAAATATTTTTATGTCTTTTTATGTTAATAAAAAAAGGGCTTATTACTAAAAACGATAAAAAGGAAAATAAATGAAAGATAGAAACAACGTGTTGCTGCAAGCAAAACAACAAGAATCAGAAGTTCTGAAGCCAGGCGCGCTGTGACTCAGAAGGAAACATCAGTTGGTATCATAAGTTCTAGATTGGTAAACTTTGAGGTCCTGCATGAAATGTTAGAGGGGAAACATAGAAGTTCTGGATGGCTATGTGCTGAACTTGTAAATGTTAGAACAGTGAGAAAACAATCAGAAGTTCAGCATGTTATCAACGTATGAAAATCAGAAGTTCTAAGTGTTAAAACAGTGAGTGAACATCAGAAGTTCAGTGTGCATTAACAGTGAGGAGAACTCAAAAGTTCTGTGTTGTGCTAAAGCTGTGAGTGAACGTCAGAAGTTCTATGCCATATTTCTACTCTTAATCAGCACATCAGCAATTTATTCAGTTCTTAATAAACAGCAAATCAGAAGGATAATAGCACAATAGTTTATAGAAGTTCTAATCCTTAATCTGAGTCTAGCCCTAATCAACAAGTTCTGATCCACAGTTTTTCTACTTAAGCAATGATATGTACAACATTAATACTATGATATTCACATATTTAATGATGTTCTGAATGAAAAGATGCAAAGTCAGAAAGACTTACCTTGAATCTGGAGCGTATGCTTGGAGCTTTGGGCTGCTACCTTCAGATGTTCTAGAATCAGCAAGAGCAACGGAAGAGAAAATGCCAAGTTCTTTGATTCAAAAGGAAGAACAAAGGTTTGGTTTTCTGTTTGGGAAATATGGATTTTTATGAAGGTTTCACAACTTCCTTTTCTCTCTTTTGGCCAATCTCTCTCCAAAAGCCAGCCTTTTGCAAGTGTAATGGAGCAACTTATTTATAGGTGGATTTATAATTTTGGGGAAATTAAAAGTACAACCATCCTATACTAGGCGCTGACTTGTTCTTGAAGCAAGCATGGTGGTTAGCAGCTTTTAGCCATGCCTAAGCTGGAATTGTAAGCACGAATTAAGGAAAGGTAACTTCAAAAGCAAAAGCAACACATGGGCCCAGCACACTTTTGTACAAGAGTTTGCTTTTCCAAGACAGTAAAGGTACTTCTATGCCACACGTGGAGAAATCCTTTGGATAAAGACTCAAAAGTGGTTGTGAGCATTAAATGATGATGAGATTGATCAAACCAGAATTCCTGCAACGTGATATTCTGCATCATTTCTTAGTTCTAGATTAGAAGTTCAGCTTCAGCGTAACATCCAACCTCTGATCTTTGTATCTCCTTGCTCCAACATGTTCTGAAGGAGCTCTCAGACTTTCCAGGAAGCTTGCAACATGCTTTGTAAACCTTATTTAAATTACCCTTGCAAACTCTGACTGAACCTTTGTGAAAACTGGCCCAGAAGTTCTGACCAAACTCTGTCTTGAAAGTGTCCAGAATTTGCTGAGTGTTTCAGTTTCAAGGACGTGTCTTTGAGAAGTTGTAACTTGAAATCCCAACATTTCTAGGATAAGTTATGTTCTGCAATGTTTTAGATCTCATTGAAATCTATATCTATTGAATCAGAAGTTCTTCCAGAATCAGCTTGCATCATGGTGAAAATCTGGCCAGAAGTTCTGAGCTTGTCATATTTTCTTAAACACTTAGAAAAGATTCTAAGTATTTAGAATTTTGACTTCTCCAAAGTAGTTTTGACTTTTGGATTTCTTGATTAAACAAACTTCATATTTCAACCTGTCTTGATGAAATATGATTCCTGAAATTTGATTTTGATTCAAAAGTCAAAGTTTGACTTTTCAGTGTGCAAATGACCATTTTGCCCTTGTGAGTGATTTTCTTGGAAAACTTGTAATTCAAGGCTTGGAATTGGATGGAAGCAAACTTGAAGATCCAGGGCGATTCTTTGAAAAATGAGAGGGAAAATTTTGGGGTGCAACAGGGGCATTTCCACATTTCAATTTCATAGATTAACCGAAAATAAAATGGATTTAGATGAAGAAGATTTTGTTTTCTTTGGAACAATAATAGAGCGCCAGGAAGATTCAATCAACCGCAAGAAGAAAGCCGTTGATAATGGGGTGTCCACCACTAAAACGTGTTTTTGTTTATGTGATTGTCTAATATTATTTATTTTGCGAAGTTGCAGAAAAAATGTAATTAGAAATCATGGTTCACTTCAAGACCTGCAAGTATGGACGCGAAACTTACTCAATATATCAACAGAAAAAGGAAGGTATATGATTTGGAAATTATATGACATATAAAATATTGTTAGTGTTGCTAAACATTGTATGAACAAATTATCTACAAAATTAAAAATCCTGCAATTAGATACCCTATGATTATAGTTTTTACTTTTATGTTGCTGATGCGAATCAGTGAACTTCAGTTGTGCATTGAGTAAATGTTTATTTTATGTTCACCTTCTTGTACTCATATATAAGAAATGTAGTACTTTTGATTAATAAATGATTTCAATCTGCAGGTGAATGTTGTGAAAGGCATTTTAAAGGCATCTGTGGGTGAATTTCCACGCTCTATCGTAAGGATCTAGACGAGACCCTTATGTCTTCATATCTTAGTAGGATTCAAAAAAGAGAAGAAAAGGGTTACATGAGACCCTTATGTCTTAATATCTTTGTAGGATTCAAACTTGTCTTTATCCTTCTTTTTAGGTTAGTGAATTAATTTTTTGCATCAATCTAAAATTTTGAAAATTTATAGGCTAATGGTTCTAAATTGGCATTCGTCTTATTACTAGCCACCAAGAATGAATTCAAGTAAGTTTGTTATTTTGTAATGAAGAGTTACCACTATAAATTTCTTTGTAAAATGTGCATAAGACAAAGAAAATGTTTCACATACGATTTTATTTTGTTGTGTGAGTCTTAACCTTTTTCCTTGTCTCCATGATAAAGTTCTTGCAGCCACTGTTGGTTCCGCATTTACATTCTCTTCAAATCAGAAGAAAAAATAGGTTTTACTTATTATTAGTGAGAAAAATGACTACAGTGAAGTGGAATCACAATACAACAACGAAAATGTTGAAGATGAAGCCTCGATTGCATCTGAAGTTGTTGTTTCTCTACCTTCCCTAAGTGAAAATTCCATGGAATCACAATTCCTGGTAAACCTGCTGGAAGACTCTCTGATGGTCGCGTTAACTCTAGTTAAATTGTTAGCACTCTTCTCTCTTTCTTTGTGAAATTCTAAATCCTATTTTTTTAGATTATTAAAAATTCTCTACAGGATTGATAGAGCCTAATCATTTGAAGTAATTAAAATCCATCAAAACTCTAAATGTTACAACTAGCCAAACCAAGTTTAATTTGTAGTAGATTGAGTATATATATTTTTGGTAAATTAATGTATTCTATGTGCAAGTACATAGACAAACTTCATAAGATATTGAGTGATATTATTCATTGAGGAATACCATGGTTCACCAAATCATGGTATGTTAACTGGTTGGATGCTTTGCATAGGAGAAACAAAACCAAACTCTGGCAGCATCATCCAAAATATTAAAGTTAACATGGCTATTTCATTTTCTGAGTATAATGATAGAATGGGTATTTACATTTACCTGGGAAAATAATTTGACATTTTTGTGGGTGTGTCATAACTGAGTAATACCAATTATGGTAGTGAATTCTTGGCGAGGCATCAAGCTTACATGTGGTAATGGATTGAACTAGAATTCTCGGTGATGCATCATCTATAATGTCAATTATCATCTTTTACTTTCACATTTAATTTTTAATGGATTTAACTAGAATTGTATTGAAAAAACAAGATTAATGATAGATTTTTTACCCTGCTTTTGGAATGCAAGATTGGTATACACAATACTTACATATTATAAATCAAAAAGCTAACAGTGAGCCTTACGACGAAAAGGAAACTTAAAGTAACATGAAGAATACATTTGGTAGTCCTTAATGATACCTAATGGGTCAGATAATTCATAGTCAAATTTCAAACGAATCATTGAATTTTCTCTTGGTTCAATGTCTTTTTGAACTGAAAAGTCACATCGGAAAGATGAAAAACTATCGAGGAACTGATTTTCTATTTTTCTCATATTCTCTCTCTTTCAATAAATCTCAATATTTTTCTTACAAGATGAATAAAACCTCAATATCTCTCTTCCCTATTTAACACCAAGTTCCGGTTGGGGCATTTCCATATTTCAATTTCATCGATTAACCGAAAATAAAATGGATTCAGATGAAGAAGATTTTATTTTCTTCAGAACAACAATAGAGCACGAGGAAGATTCAATCAACCACAAGAAGAAAGTTATTGCTGAATCCTTGGGTCGACTCTGAACATCCCTGCTCGGAAGCAAGAGATAAGCGTTATCTCTCTTTAAATTTCCAATGTTGCACCTGTAATAATTTCACTGGAATTTTTTTTCTGTTTCTAGGTTAGAGATGAGGAAGGGAAAAGAAGATTCCATGGCGCGTACAACATATTACTATAGAAACACTTTTTTTCCGAAGCCCTTTGTAAATATTGATATATCAGTCCTTTATTAAACAATAATTTTTTGATTTATATGTGGCTTTTTACATTCTTCTGCATTATTTTTTGTTTTAAAGTTCTCAAATAAGGGAAAATCTGTTATATTACAATATAAAGCTACCAGAAGAGATGTTGTCTTGGCTCAGTCTAAGGTCTATATTTTCCTTCTCAAATATATTGTGGTGTTGAACTAGGAAACTATTATTTTTTTCTTACTCCCCAATCCCCTATTGAAATTTAATCATTCAAAATAAGGGTTAATTTCTTAATTTAAATTGTATTTCTGTATTTTTGCATTGAGTTTGGAATGTAGGTAAGGTTCATGGATCTTTGGATCGTGCCAAAAAAGTGAGAAGGAAAACTCCTAAGATTGTGAAGCAAGACAAGAAAAAGAAGTCACGCCGTCATGCTTACAAGCATATGCAATACAATCGTCGATTCCTTATGTCTTCATATCTTTGTAGGATTCAAGCTTGTCTTTATCCTTCTTTTTAGGTTAGTGAATTAATTTTCTGCATCAATCTAATCTTTTGAAAAATTACAGGCTAATGGTTCTAAATTGGCATTCATCTTATTGCTAGCTAGAAAGAATGAATTCAAGTAAGTTTGTTATTTTGTAATGAAGAGTTAACACTATAAATTTCCGTGTAAAATGTGCATGCGACGAAGAAAAGGTTACACAGACGATTTTATTTTTTTTATGAGTCTTAAGCTTTTTCCTTGTCTCCATGATAAAATTCTTGCAACCGTTGTTGATGCCGCCTTTACATTCTCTTCAAATCAGAAGAAAAAAATAGGTTTTACTTTCTCTTATCAGTGAGAAAAATGACTACAATGCAGTTGCATCACAATACAACAACGAAAATGTTGAAGATGAAGCCTCAGTTGCATCTGAAGTTGTTGTTTCTCTACCTTCCCTAAGTGAAAATTCCATGGAATCACAATTCCTGGTAAACCTACTGGAAGATTCTCTGATGGTCGCGTTGACACTGGTTAAATTGTTAACACTCTTCTCTCTTTCTTTGTGAAATTCTAAATCCCATTTTTTTAGATTATTAAAAATTCTCTACAGGATTGATAGAGCTTAATCATTTGAAGTAATTGAAATCATCAAAAATCTAAATATTACAACTAGCCAAACCAAGTTTAATTTGTAGTAGATTGAGTATATATATTTTTGGTAAGTTAATGTATTTTATGTGCAAGTGCATAATTTTTTTTTATAAGATATTGAGTGATATTATTCATCGAGGAATACCATGGTTCACCAAATCATGGTATGTTAACTGGTTGGATGCTTTGTAGAGCAGAAACAAAACCAAACTCTGGCAGCATCATCCAGAATATTAAAGTTAACATGGCTATTTCATTTACTGAGTATAATGATAGAACGGATATTGATATTTACCTGGGAAAATAATTTGACATTTTTGTGGGTGTGTCATAACTGAGTGATACCAATTATGATAGTGAATTTTTAGTGAGGCATCAGGCTTACATGTAAAAATAGATTGAACTAGAATTCTTGGTGAGGCATCATATATAATGTCAGTTGTCATCTTTTACTTTCACATTTAATTTTTAATGGATTTAACTAGAATTGTATTGAAAAAACAAGATTAATGATAGATTTTTTACCCCGCTTTTAGAGTGCAAGATTGGTATACACAATACTTGTATATTATAAATCAAAAAGCTAACAGTAAGCCTTACGACGAAAAGGAAACTTAAAGTAAAATGAAGAATATATTTGGTAGTCCTTAATGATACCTAATGGGTCAGAAAATAGACAACAACTCACGCTTTCTGAAATACAACACACCTTTCTCGCTTTCAGAAAACTTAAAGTAATATAAATTGATTATTTATTTGTTCTTTATCAATAACTTTTGTTAATTTCAATAATTGTACTTCTTTTTGCATTTTTCAGGATATATAGGACTGTACTGAGATATAAGTTATTCATTTGATTATTATCAAGTCATGTTATAATATTTAGTTTTTCAATATACCAAATAGCTTATGATGAAGGAAACCTTATTTTACATTAATTTTTAAATTATTTTTACCCTGGTTTGATCGTTTACTAATTTATTTTATTTGAGTTGTATGAAGTGTGAAATTTATGTATTGAATAATAACTGGAACATGAATTTATTGTTCAAAAAAAAAAAACGAGAACATGAAGTTACCGATCAAAATATTGAATAATAATAAAAACACGAAGTACTGATCAAAATTTTAAATGATGTTTTGTTTACCGATTTATTATATGTTTTAACAATAATAAACTTTTTTATTAAATAATGTTCTCTTACTATCATTTCATTTTTATTATATCTTTGAAAATAAATGCGCGTAACACATCAGTACCTGTACGAACACACGGATAACTCATCAGTATTGTGTGAACGCACGAGTAACCATACTAAAATCCGTGCGAACGCACATATTATTACATTTTTTGTGCAATTAAAGAAAATAAAAGTAAAACTAATGTATTAATCGAAACAAGAGAAAAATATGTTATTTTTTTAATTATTTATGTATTTAATATTTTTATTTTAAAACTATTTTTAATTTAAGATACAAATATTTTAAAGATAATATATGAAAATTTGAAATATATATTATTGATGTAAAACTATTTTGTTTTTATTTTAAAAATATGTCTTTCTTTTAAAAATAACATACTATTTTGGTGAAAAAAACTATTTTTCTTATTTACATTTAAAAATAAAAACATGCGTAAAACACTATTACCCGTGCGAACGCACGGGTATCCCATTAATTAAATAGAATTAAAAAAAAAAGTTCTTTTACAACTTTTCCAAATGTCAAATTTTTAGACTCCACGCTATTTTTGTTTTAACTATTAGTGTGGAAAGGTTTCCATAATTAACATTATAATATTAATATTTTATTATTTTTTTTATATTTAATTGTATTTAATTATATTTAATGTTGATTTAATTGAGTCATGCAAATCATCTATTTAAAATTAATTTTTTTACACGCTCAATATTACATTACAGAATCTATATTTAATGCTGATTTAAATTTCCAATACCGCATCTATTATAATTTCACTGAATATTTTTTCTATTTCCAGGTTAGAGATGATGAAGGGAGGAGAAGATTTCATTGACGCGTCCAACATATTACTATAAAAACACTTTTTTTTTTCTGAAATCCTTTGTAAATATTGATATAGTTGTCCTTTATTAAACAATGATTTTTTTATTTATCCGTGACTTTTTACATTCTTCTACATTATCTATTGTTTTAAAGTTCTCAAATAAGAGAAAGTATGTTATATTACAATATAAAGCTATTAGAAGAGATGTTGTCTTGGATCAATCTAAGGTCTATATTTTCCTTCTCAAATATATTTTGGTGTTGAACTAGAAACTATTATTTTTTTTCTTATTCCTCAATCCCCTATTGAAATTTAATCATTCAAAATAAGGGTTAATTTCTTAGTTTAAATTGTATTTCTATAATTTTTCAATAAGTTTGGAATTCAGGTAAGGTTCATGGATCTTTTCATTTATTTCTTTTTGTAGTGTTTACGAATAAAATAACCTATTACTTACTATTTTTGAGAATTTCTCATTTTACTAAGATGTTTGACCCAACTATTTTAAGAATCATGTATTCTAATTAGTATTAATTTACGGAATGTAAAAAGTGTAAATATGTTGATATAATTTTTTTTATCACAACTGGATAGGTTTCAAAATTATTTTAACGGATCAATTTATGTTTTTTCAATCACATGTTTTGGTCTGTTGAAATTTCTTCTTAACCATGATGTTACAAGTATTGTTTTTACCAAAGCTTTAGCTCCTATGCAATGACCTCATTAAGGATGAGGTAATCATTTTCTTCTTTATGTTGAGATACCAAGATATTAGATTGGTTTCAAGAATCTTTTTTGTTCATTATGTTCAAATTTACAAATTTTTATTGGTGACCTTTAAATATTTTATCTTACCCCTTGGTCTAAGTAATCTTGAAGTTGAAGCTACCATGTGAAAAACTTCCAGTTTGATACTGTTGTCAATTATAACTTGAAATAGTGGAAAAATATTGAAAATTGATTAACTATTTATAACTAAAAAATAACAAAAACACTATGATAAATTACTAGTATGTATACCTGCGTAAGGTTTGGGATAAAATTTCTTATACTAAAAAATATATATTTTATAATTATTTATCGTTTATAAATAAAATTTATGTCAAATAAAATCTCACTTTTTATTAAATATAATTCTTACATTATGTTTTTTAAACATATAATTTTAAAATTCACACATGCGTCGGAATATAAACAGATTTATATGTAATTTTGATTTTAATATAAATTATTTTTAATAAATTTTGTGACATGCACTCTCATATTTAACTTGTATGTTTGTTTTTTCGAAATTGCATAAGCAACAAATTATAAAATATTATTTTTTCTAAAATTTTGTTTTAAATTAAATCATTTGTCAATTTAAATTAATATAAAGTATGTTATGGGTATACCGACCAAAATCACAAAAGTCAAAACATGATTGCGACCTCTATAAAACACTTAATAAATCATATGCTTCCTATAAGTTATTGTCAATAATATGGCAGACAAATCAAAACTATAAAAACAAATTAAAATTCAATCATAAATCAAAATTATAAAAACAAATTAAAATTCAATGATCAAAATAAGATAAATATTTTGCTTCTATATATTGCCCATGCAAGTCATTATGCTGTTATTATTTTAATGTCAATTTGTTCCTTACAAAAGCAAATCTATGCAAGAGTATAGATCGACATGATACACTTTAATTTCTATCCTTCATTTTTATTTAAACCTAATTTATAGTATTCAACAAAATCAAAAGACTATAAATGAAATATAACTATGAATCACTGAACGGATCCTATATAACTTAATTATGTACCCGATAATAAATTAAACATATCACACCTCTCTCTTATAAAACTTTGCTAAAATAAAACCCTGCTCATCTCTTTCATTTAAAAAAGTAAATGATTGTAGTGTTTCTTCAACTGAGTTCTTCCATTTTTTGTCTCTTTTTTCAAGTAAATAGAGTTCATCTACTTCATGGAAACTCCTGTTAGTGTAATGTGATGAAATTGAGAAAGAAGAGAAAAAAAAATAAATACTAAAAACTGTCACAAATGATTGAAGAGAATTGATTGTATTAAATGTAAACCTAGTACACCTATTTATACACAAGAATAGTAAAAATAAGAATACCACATAGAACTTAAAGAGAATATCTAACAAATGACAAATATTAAATTACCCTCTAATAATCCTGTATAGACTTTTATCAAGGAAGAAATATAATTTATCTCTTTTAATGAGAGATAAATTTGTTAATTTTGGAGCCAGATTTTGATAAAACTTTGATATAATAAATATAATCTATATAATAATAATCAACATTAAGAATACTTTAGGGACAATTGGTTTAGAAACAAAGAGAACTACACAGTGATGCAACAAAAATAAATATAACTTTTAATAACTAACCAAGTATATAGAAATTATATATGTACAAATCAGAAATTATCGGTGGATGGTTTATACATGTTAAGCCGTGAAAGATTATCAATCCTCACCATCCTTTTCCATAGACTTTCACCTTCTTCCAATTTTTTCAGATTTATCCTCTAAAATCTACAAAGCAAATTAAGAATTTAAATATATGAGGATAGTGATGTAGAAAGTATGTGGAAAAAAAAACTAAAGATATTAGATATTCTTAAACAATTAAGAATCTTTAAATAAAGAATTGAAAAGTGATATGTGGCCGACTTTTCCTAAAATTTCTTTTAATTTATTCTATTTAATATACTAATTGAAAATTGCATCTAAATTATTAAAAAAATAATAATCATCTCTAAAAAAATTTCACTTTAATTTATTTTGTGTGCAATTTTTTATACCAATTATATCTTTATTCTGCAATTTTTTTAAAATTCAAAAAAGACATTTAGAGTACTA